CTCGGGCCTCGTGGTGTCGTCGTGTCGATGAGGGCGTCCGTCCGCTCTCCGCTCGGTGGGGCTCCAAGTCTGCCAGGTGCAGAGTTGGGTTCAAGCCTCCAAAGGACAGCCAGACCTGGTGATTGGACTTCGAGGTGCGGCGTTTTCTTTTTTTCTCCCGGGTCCACCGCCTTCTCGCGCCGCCGCGGCGCAGCCCGGTGCGCCAGAGCGGAGGGTCGCGAGACCCATGACCTGGTGGCCTGCCTGAAGGGATCTGAGCTTCAGGATGTGAACATGTCGTGTCATGTGGCCGTTCATTGGCCCCCAACCGTTGAGGGTCACATCTCTTGGGAAGGGACGCTTGCGCCGGGATGAAATTCTGCCAGTGCCAGTGCCGGTGGAGATTGCTGATTCATTGCGGGTAAAGTGTCATGTCAAACTGGCACCTAGTTTATGGTGCCAAGGCCAACGCCGGGGAATTCGTCTCCAACCCCCAAGCGCCGTCTCTTGTTGCGCCCCTCTTGTTCCGTTGGCGTTGGTGACCGAGGGAGAAAGAAGCGTCGGAGCGGCTCCGTGAAGGCGACGGATCCCACGTGGGGACGGTCGGGGGACGGCCCTATACTCCTGCTTCCCTGCTCCGCGGCTAAGCTCACTCGCAAGGCGATCCCTACTACCTCCTGCCTGGCAAGGACCAACCGTGCACTGTGATGACTGATTATTGTTGTTCCCCTGATTCACCTGTCTGTGATATCTCTGTGGCCCTGGAGGGCTCAGCTTCCAGCAGTTCAAGAAACCTCTGGGCCTTTGATCGAGATCCGATAGATTTTACATGGGATCATTCAACCATCCCTTCTGTGTAAATATGTATCAAGACTCTCCCTACCGTAGGGCCTGGGCAAAGCGTCTGGATGCCCTCAAAGCTGCCCCTTAGCCAGAACTTCCGGAGCTCCTTACCCCAGCTGCAAATAAACCTGGACGTCATAATCCACCATTCATCCCTTTGAACCACCTGCAAGTCTAAATCCTGGTCGTTGGATCATTACTGGACGGCCTTGAAGCGACCCCCCGAGCGCCCAGGACGGCGGCGCGCTCCGGAACTTTGCGCTGCGCGCGGAGCGCCTTGGTGACCGGCGGGTGTGCACCGTCCGAACCGGAAAAGGGTTGGGCGTGGAGGGGTCTGGTGCCTTGGAAGACTTTCCTTTACAAACAGGAGGTTTTCCACTTCCATGTTAGTGAGGTCCAGGGGTAGGAAGAAGAGACACCATTTTTGGAGACGTCCTCAGTATTATTGTGTTGTTTTTTGTTTTCTCTCAGGGGTGCGTGAGGTATCGGTATCACAGATTCTTTGTGCTTTTGTTCATTATATATTTTTTTGAGGGGGTGGGTATGACGAGAAGTTTCCTTTTCCTCTTGAGGGGGGCTGTGGATGGGGATGGGACGTGGCGGGTAAAAATTGGGGCTCTTCCGATTGTATGATAAAGCAGGCAGAAGCCTGAGGAGTCCTAGAATGACTGTAAGATGATTTTGCACTTGAGTCGCCCACTGCTTGCTTTGCTTTTTCTACCAACGCAGACTCTCTCGACGGGCGCGCCCCTTGGACGCTGGCATAAGGTGTACCCACTTGGGGTGCTTGGCCAACTGGAATCGTGTGGTGAACAAGTTCGTGTGCGGGCCGCCAGTTTTTCCTTTGTTTAAAAAGGGGATGGGTTAGTGATTTGTAGAGCCAGGGTGCCACTGATTCTGATGGTGACTTCGCCCTGGTCACTGGTCACTGGTCCTATCTGACTCTCTGACGCCAGGTGGGTTAGGGCGCCCAAAGATCGTCGATGTTCAGGAGTAGGGCCGGGTCGAGGGAGTGGTTGAATATTAGGCTCTTGATGATTCCCCAATAGCCATGCTATGGGGTCTTGCAAAACTAATAGGCGGA